GACACTGGAGGCTGTGGGTCCCCCAATTTGCAGGATAAAAAACTGACATCTTTCATTAGGCTGCTAAGGATAAATGGATAAAAATGAAATGGTCATATATTCTAATAATTAATGATAAAATGAGCCTTCTGTGCCCAATATTTAATTAAAAAGCTTTGCTTACAGCATTCACTATCTTACCCTCATAGTATATACTGCAGATCGAATTATAAATTTTCATGGGGATAAAATTTTGTTCATTTGTCATTTAACAAAAAAAATTTCATAAGTAGTAAATTTTGTTGTTTCAAAAGAACAATATATACGAGTAGTCGTATAAAAATTTTGTGTGGGATTTAATTTCGTTGCAGATTGTTAACAATGAAATAAACAAAATTAATTCCTGAATATAGTTCTGATTTTACCGTATTGTTATCTTGAGGCAATGTAATGATTTTGTCCAGTCTAAGCTAAGAACACATTTTTTTCTTAGAGATATAAGCTTCATACAAAGATGTCAGTTCAAGTTATCCATTAACTGTACTATCTGCTCAAAGGCAGGGGTATCGTTCAGTGCCACTGAACTCATTGTAGCCCACTTCACAGTGTCCATGTAATTCTAAAATTCCATATTACATGAAACTAAAGGAAATGAGTATATGTGAACTGTACATAAAATGAAAATCATCAATTCACCTCATTTTTACAAAAATTGTGTCACTTAATCTCAGTTTTGCAGAGAAAAATTTTTGCTTTTTACTATACCAGGGGCATTAAATTAACTTAATAATGGTATATCTATAATGCAGGCTATACAGACTAATAGATGTTTTTAACTATCATAAAAATAAGACTCTTACTTTTTCCATTTTTTATGCAGTTGACACATAGTTATTATTCTATTCTACAAGCAATAACTACATGCATATACATAAATTTTTAACTTATTTTTTTATACATGTTTTGTAATTGATTAAAAAAAAAAATTAAACATGATTGGAATGAATTTCAGCAATCTTCATTCAGTCTTCTCTCTGGAAATCTTTGTACAATTTTTTGTATGATAAAGTTTTTTAAAAGTAAGTAAAACATCAAGGTCAAGATCAAAATTGTTGGTATCCAAAGAAAGATCTTGTCACAAGAATTACATATGTGAAGTATGAAAGCCCTAGCACCAACCATTCAAAAGTTATGGCCAAGGTTAAAGTTTTTCAAAAGTAGGTCAAACTCCTAGGTCAAGATCAAAAGGTCAAAGTGGTTGGTATCCAAAGGAGGGTCTTGTCAAAAGGATTACATATGTGAAGTATGAAAGCCCTAGCTCCAACCGTTCAAAAGTTATGGCCAAGGTTAAAGTTTTTCAAAAGTAGGTCAAACTCCTAGCACAAGGTCAAAGGGTCAAAGAGGTTGATATCCAGAGGAAGGTCTTGTCACAAGGAATACACATGTGAAGTTTGAAACAACAAGCACCGATTGTTCAAAAGTTATGGCCAAGGTTAAAGTATTTCAAAAGTAGGTCAAACTCCAAGGTCAAGGTCAAAAGGTCAAAGTTGTTGGTATCCAAAGGAAGGCCTTTCACGAAGAATACACATGTGAAGTTTGAAACCCCAAGCACCAACTGTTCAGAAGTTATGGCCAAGGTTAAAGTCTCATAAAATTTTGCAAAAGTGCATCAAACTCCAAAGGCAAGGTCAAAAGGTCAAATATGATGATACCCAAAGAAAGGTCTTGTCACAAGGAATACACAAGTGAAATATGAAAGTCATATCTCCAACCAATCAAAAGTTATGGACAAGGTTAAAGTTGACAACAGACAGACAGACAAACAGACAGACAGGACAAAAACAATATACCCCCGGGATCTTTCGATCCAGGGGCATAAAATCAATACTAATTATAACACATTGTTTTTTTATTACATTGAAATAACAACTTTTCAAGTATTCCTCTATTGAAAAGTATTTATCCATATATAAGGTTATTCCTATATACCCCCTCAACCTTTCATTATGGGAGTATAAAAAATTACATTGTAAATGAACAGACATTGGAATTATTTTTCATAGATAACAAACACACACAAGTCATTATTACAATAGACATACTCTAATAACCTTAAGGTATGATTGCAAGTCAATATGAATAACTGCATACATGTAGACATTGACACTCTTGGCAAGAGTCCCCCAGCAGCAGGAAACAAGAAACTGACACTATGGAGGGGGGATAAATAAAATTACACCAATATCTAATGTACACATAGATGCTGTGTCTGTTTTGCTCGAATTATTTAAATATATTGCCCTGCATTGCAATGTGTGCCAAATCCTTTCCTTCTACTAAGCAAGTGTCATTTCAACTTTCCATCAACTGTATTATCTGCTCAAAGGCAGGGGTGTCATCTGGCGCCACCAGACTTATTGTCACTCCTTTCAGTGTCCATGTATATCTAACAGATTCTTCATACATGAATACATTCGAAGTGAGTGAAAATATCTGCTCTGTACTAAAATGGAATTGTTTGCTTTACTGTAATTTATTTTTCATATATTGGAATAAAGAAAAAAATGCATTCTTGTAATCAAATTAAGCAAAAGCCAAATATAAAAAGTACAAACTCATGATTTTAACCCCCCCCCCCCCTTACCCCCAACACAAAGAAACTGTCTTAAAATGTGTTTAACATGAACATGATGAAGCTAAGGAAGGTAATTTTTACTTGTTCTCTGTGTAATGAAGTGTTTTTTTCTCTCCATATTTTAATACAGTGCAGACATCTTTGAACTACCAGACTGTAGCTCTACTTGTTGTACTAATATTTATAGAATTATGCTAAAAAATTTATGCATTTCTGCAAAGTTATCTTTTTAATTTGACAGTTTATTACTAAGTTTTATTGAAATCAGAACAATATTTGGAAGTAAGCTTTTTAAGATAATTACATGTGTAACAAATTACGGATATAGCGAAGTAAATTCAAAGGTCCCCAGGACTTTGCTATAGCTGAGTTTTACTGTAAAAGGTCAAGATCTTGTAAATGATTTTGAAAAGCCTTTTGTTCCAAATTCATCATTATCTCGTAATTGTCATTGAATTATATACAAAATGAAGGGAGAAGTGAAGATCATACAAATCACATTTTTCTTTGAGACTGTAGGCAATCTGGACACATTTCACTTGCTTGATATGAAAATAAATTCCAAATTTAAAGATAATTTTCTTCATTATGCCATGAAAAAGACATTATAAAACATATCATTTTCCTGTTTTTTTTTTTGTTTTTTTTTACCAAAATAATTTTATGCTGTTAAACTTTATTTAACCAAAATATGACATTTATGCTTATTAAACACCAATGAAAAAATTTTAAAAAATGCAAAATCATGTATCCCCTTGTAGTCAATACAATACCAAAGCAAACCAAAACAGTAAAAATAACTTTCAAAAAAAAAAATCAGGAGAAAATTTATTTTCATTCATTTTAGAAAAATCATTCATTGAAATAAAAAAAAGATAAAGAAATGAATCTTATTTAATGTTTTAAACTGGTGTAGAGACTTACTGAATTCAGGCAAAAACTGTAAAAGGAGTAGGATTTTGACAGACAACCATTTGAGTGACAGACTTATTACCAATGCATAAGCTTTCCTGATCTTTGACCAGTAAAACTAAAATGTTCTACAAGCAGTAAGCAATTTTACATGAATAAATATTAACATACATGTAAAGCTTTAAATGAATACCGACAATTTTTCAGTTTCCTTCCCTTAATGTCCATGGCTTAATGAATGGCAACTATCTTCTGTTTTCACTAACGATAGGGCTGAAATGATACATTCATTCACGTACAAAAGGTCAAAATATGTTATGACATATCCAAAGCCATTTTAGGCATAAGAGTAAATCACAGGAGATCCGACCACAATTTTAAAAAAAAAAGAAATTCATGTCTTTTAATTCAAGTTTGTATATTGTATTCCAACAACTATGAAAAAAGATATTCTCAAAAATGATGTGTCCTTCAAATGAATTCAATACCTCCAGATAGTGGGTTGGCGAAAGTTCCACGCACTGTTGCAAAGGGCGTCTTCTTCTCATGATGTCAAGCAGGGCAGGTTAACAAGTCTCAAATGATAACAACACCAGTACATCATTTCATGGGTCTGAAATCAAGCATAATATACATTTTACTAAATAACAAAAAAATTAAACTGTTTTAATTGTTTGTTTAAAACTACATGATATTCCAAAAACATAAAAAAACAAAAGAAATCTCACTGCAGGAAATGATGTGTCCTATAAATGACCTCAAAGCCTCCAGATTGTGGGTTGGCGAAAGTTCTACACTCTGTTGCAAAGGGCCTTTCTCTCTCATACAGTCAAGCAGGGCAGGTTAACAAGTCTCAACTGATAACAACAGCAGTACATCATTTCATGGGTCTAAAATCAAGCATAACATACATTTAACTGTACAAAAATACAACGCAAGATCAAAGCTTTATGACATTCAAACAACATTCCAAAAAAGAAATCTTACTGCGGGAAATGATGTGTCCTTCAAATGACCTCAAAGCCTCCAGATTGTGGGTTGAATGTCTTTTAATTGTGTGTTTAAAGCTACGATATTCCAAAAACATTAAAAAAAAAAGAAATCTTACTGCGGGAAATGATGTGTCCTTCCAATGACCTCAAAGCTTCCAGAATGTGGGTTGGCAAAAGTTCCACGCTCTGTTGCAAAGGGCCTTTCTCTCTCATACACTCAAGCAGGGCAGGTTAACAAGTCTCAACTGATAACAACAGCAGTACATCATTTCATGGGTCTGAAATCAAGCATAACATACATTTAACTGTACAAAAATACATTTATGTTTTTTCAATGCAAGATCAAAGCTATATGACTTTCAAACAACATTCCAAAAAAGAAATCTCACTGCGGGAAATGATGTGTCCTTCCAATGACCTCAAAGCCTCCAGATTGTGGGTTGGCGAAAGTTCCACGCTCTGTCGCAAAGGGCCTTTCTCTCTCATACACTCAAGCAGGGCAGGTTAACAAGTCTCAACTGATAACAACAGCAGTACATCATTTCATGGGTCTGAAATCAAGCATAACATACATTTAACTGTCCAAAAATACATTTTTGTTTTTTCAATGCAAGATCAAAGCTATATGACATTCAAACAACATTCCAAAAAAGAAATCTTACTGCGGGAAATGATGTGTCCTTCAAATGACCTCAAACCTCCAGATTGTGGGTTGAAAGTCTTTTAATTGTGTGTTTAAAGCTACGATATTCCAAAAACATTAAAAAAACAAAAGAAATCTCACTGCAGGAAATGATGTGTCCTTCCAATGACCTCAAAGCCTCCAGATTGTGGGTTGGCGAAAGTTCCACGCTCTGTCGCAAAGGGCCTTTCTCTCTCATACACTCAAGCAGGGCAGGTTAACAAGTCTCAACTGATAACAACAGCAGTACATCATTTCATGGGTCTGAAATCAAGCATAACATACATTTAACTGTACAAAAATACATTTTTGTTTTTTCAATGCAAGATCAAAGCTATATGACATTCAAACAACATTCCAAAAAAGAAATCTCACTGCGGGAAATGATGTGTCCTTCCAATGACCTCAAAGCCTCCAGATTGTGGGTTGAATGTCTTTTAATTGTGTGTTTAAAGCTACAATATTCCAAAAACATTAAAAAAACAAAAGAAATCTTACTGCGGGAAAAGATGTGTCCTTCCAATGACCTCAAAGCCTCCAGATTGTGGGTTGGCGAAAGTTCCACGCTCTGTCGCAAAGGGCCTTTCTCTCTCATACACTCAAGCAGGGCAGGTTAACAAGTCTCAACTGATAACAACAGCAGTACATCATTTCATGGGTCTGAAATCAAGCATAACATACATTTAACTGTCCAAAAATACATTTTTGTTTTTTCAATGCAAGATCAAAGCTATATGACATTCAAACAACATTCCAAAAAAGAAATCTCACTGCGGGAAATGATGTGTCCTTCCAATGACCTCAAAGCCTCCAGATTGTGGGTTGGCGAAAGTTCCACGCTCTGTCGCAAAGGGCCTTTCTCTCTCATACACTCAAGCAGGGCAGGTTAACAAGTCTCAACTGATAACAACAGCAGTACATCATTTCATGGGTCTGAAATCAAGCATAACATACATTTAACTGTACAAAAATACATTTTTGTTTTTTCAATGCAAGATCAAAGCTATATGACATTCAAACAACATTCCAAAAAAGAAATCTCACTGCGGGAAATGATGTGTCCTTCCAATGACCTCAAAGCCTCCAGATTGTGGGTTGGCGAAAGTTCCACGCTCTGTCGCAAAGGGCCTTTCTCTCTCATACACTCAAGCAGGGCAGGTTAACAAGTCTCAACTGATAACAACAGCAGTACATCATTTCATGGGCCTGAAATCAAGCATAACATACATTTAACTGTACAAAAATAACTTTTTTTTTTTCAATGCAAGACATTCAAACAACATTCAAAAAAAGAAATCTCACTCTGGGAAATGATGTGTCCTTCCAATGACCTCAAAGCCTCCAGATTGTGGGTTGAATGTCTTTTAATTGTGTGTTTAAAGCTACGATATTCCAAAAACATTAAAAAAACAAAAGAAATCTTACTGCGGGAAAAGATGTGTCCTTCCAATGACCTCAAAGCCTCCAGATTGTGGGTTGGCGAAAGTTCCACGCTCTGTTGCAAAGGGCCTTTCTCTCTCATACAGTCAAGCAGGGCAGGTTAACAAGTCTCAACTGATAACAACAGCAGTACATCATTTCATGGGTCTGAAATCAAGCATAACATACATTTAACTGTCCAAAAATACATTTTTGTTTTTTCAATGCAAGATCAAAGCTATATGACATTCAAACAACATTCCAAAAAAGAAATCTCACTGCGGGAAATGATGTGTCCTTCAAATGACCTCAAAGCCTCCAGATTGTGGGTTGAATGTCTTTTAAGTGTGTGTTTAAAGCTACAATATTCCAAAAACATTAAAAAAACAAAAGGAAATCTCACTGCGGGAAATGATGTGTCCTTCCAATGACCTCAAAGCCTCCAGATTGTGGGTTGGCGAAAGTTCCACGCTCTGTCGCAAAGGGCCTTTCTCTCTCATACACTCAAGCAGGGCAGGTTAACAAGTCTCAACTGATAACAACAGCAGTACATCATTTCATGGGTCTGAAATCAAGCATAACATACATTTAACTGTCCAAAAATACATTTTTGTTTTTTCAATGCAAGATCAAAGCTATATGACATTCAAACAACATTCCAAAAAAGAAATCTTACTGCGGGAAATGATGTGTCCTTCAAATGACCTCAAACCTCAAGATTGTGGGTTGAAAGTCTTTTAATTGTGTGTTTAAAGCTACGATATTCCAAAAACATTAAAAAAAACAAAAGAAATCTCACTGCAGGAAATGATGTGTCCTTCCAATGACCTCAAAGCCTCCAGATTGTGGGTTGGCGAAAGTTCCACGCTCTGTCGCAAAGGGCCTTTCTCTCTCATACACTCAAGCAGGGCAGGTTAACAAGTCTCAACTGATAACAACAGCAGTACATCATTTCATGGGTCTGAAATCAAGCATAACATACATTTAACTGTCCAAAAATACATTTTTGTTTTTTCAATGCAAGATCAAAGCTATATGACATTCAAACAACATTCCAAAAAAGAAATCTCACTGCGGGAAATGATGTGTCCTTCCAATGACCTCAAAGCCTCCAGATTGTGGGTTGGCGAAAGTTCCACGCTCTGTCGCAAAGGGCCCTTCTCTCTCATACACTCAAGCAGGGCAGGTTAACAAGTCTCAACTGATAACAACAGCAGTACATCATTTCATGGGTCTGAAATCAAGCATAACATACATTTAACTGTACAAAAATACATTTTTGTTTTTTCAATGCAAGATCAAAGCTATATGACATTCAAACAACATTCCAAAAAAGAAATCTCACTGCGGGAAATGATGTGTCCTTCCAATGACCTCAAAGCCTCCAGATTGTGGGTTGGCGAAAGTTCCACGCTCTGTTACAAAGGGCCTTTCTCTCTCATACACTCAAGCAGGGCAGGTTAACAAGTCTCAACTGATAACAACAGCAGTACATCATTTCATGGGTGTATAATCAAGCATAACATACATTTAACTGTACAAAAATACATTTATGTTTTTTCAATGCAAGATCAAAGCTATATGACATTCAAACAACATTCCAAAAAAGAAATCTCACTGCGGGAAATGATGTGTCCTTCCAATGACCTCAAAGCCTCCAGATTGTGGGTTGGCGAAAGTTCCACGCTCTGTCGCAAAGGGCCTTTCTCTCTCATACAGTCAAGCAGGGCAGGTTAACAAGTCTCAACTGATAACAACAGCAGTACATCATTTCATGGGTCTGAAATCAAGCATAACATACATTTAACTGTCCAAAAATACATTTTTGTTTTTTCAATGCAAGATCAAAGCTATATGACATTCAAACAACATTCCAAAAAAGAAATCTCACTGCGGGAAATGATGTGTCCTTCAAATGACCTCAAAGCCTCCAGATTGTGGGTTGAATGTCTTTTAAGTGTGTGTTTAAAGCTACAATATTCCAAAAACATTAAAAAAACAAAAGGAAATCTCACTGCGGGAAATGATGTGTCCTTCCAATGACCTCAAAGCCTCCAGATTGTGGGTTGGCGAAAGTTCCACGCTCTGTCGCAAAGGGCCTTTCTCTCTCATACACTCAAGCAGGGCAGGTTAACAAGTCTCAACTGATAACAACAGCAGTACATCATTTCATGGGTCTGAAATCAAGCATAACATACATTTAACTGTCCAAAAATACATTTTTGTTTTTTCAATGCAAGATCAAAGCTATATGACATTCAAACAACATTCCAAAAAAGAAATCTCACTGCGGGAAATGATGTGTCCTTCCAATGACCTCAAAGCCTCCAGATTGTGGGTTGGCGAAAGTTCCACGCTATGTCGCAAAGGGCCTTTCTCTCTCATACACTCAAGCAGGGCAGGTTAACAAGTCTCAACTGATAACAACAGCAGTACATCATTTCATGGGTCTGAAATCAAGCATAACATACATTTAACTGTACAAAAATACATTTATGTTTTTTCAATGCAAGATCAAAGCTATATGACATTCAAACAACATTCCAAAAAAGAAATCTCACTGCGGGAAATGATGTGTCCTTCCAATGACCTCAAAGCCTCCAGATTGTGGGTTGGCGAAAGTTCCACGCTCTGTCGCAAAGGGCCTTTCTCTCTCATACACTCAAGCAGGGCAGGTTAACAAGTCTCAACTGATAACAACAGCAGTACATCATTTCATGGGTCTGAAATCAAGCATAACATACATTTAACTGTACAAAAATAACTTCTTTTTTTTCAATGCAAGACATTCAAACAACATTCAAAAAAAGAAATCTCACTCTGGGAAATGATGTGTCCTTCCAATGACCTCAAAGCCTCCAGATTGTGGGTTGAATGTCTTTTAATTGTGTGTTTAAAGCTACGATATTCCAAAAACATTAAAAAAACAAAAGAAATCTTACTGCGGGAAAAGATGTGTCCTTCCAATGACCTCAAAGCCTCCAGATTGTGGGTTGGCGAAAGTTCCACGCTCTGTCGCAAAGGGCCTTTCTCTCTCATACACTCAAGCAGGGCAGGTTAACAAGTCTCAACTGATAACAACAGCAGTACATCATTTCATGGGTCTGAAATCAAGCATAACATACATTTAACTGTCCAAAAATACATTTTTGTTTTTTCAATGCAAGATCAAAGCTATATGACATTCAAACAACATTCCAAAAAAGAAATCTCACTGCGGGAAATGATGTGTCCTTCAAATGACCTCAAAGCCTCCAGATTGTGGGTTGAATGTCTTTTAAGTGTGTGTTTAAAGCTACAATATTCCAAAAACATTAAAAAAACAAAAGGAAATCTCACTGCGGGAAATGATGTGTCCTTCCAATGACCTCAAAGCCTCCAGATTGTGGGTTGGCGAAAGTTCCACGCTCTGTCGCAAAGGGCCTTTCTCTCTCATACACTCAAGCAGGGCAGGTTAACAAGTCTCAACTGATAACAACAGCAGTACATCATTTCATGGGTCTGAAATCAAGCATAACATACATTTAACTGTCCAAAAATACATTTTTGTTTTTTCAATGCAAGATCAAAGCTATATGACATTCAAACAACATTCCAAAAAAGAAATCTTACTGCGGGAAATGATGTGTCCTTCAAATGACCTCAAACCTCCAGATTGTGGGTTGGCGAAAGTTCCACGCTCTGTCGCAAAGGGCCTTTCTCTCTCATACACTCAAGCAGGGCAGGTTAACAAGTCTCAACTGATAACAACAGCAGTACATCATTTCATGGGTCTGAAATCAAGCATAACATACATTTAACTGTACAAAAATACATTTTTGTTTTTTCAATGCAAGATCAAAGCTATATGACATTCAAACAACATTCCAAAAAAGAAATCTCACTGCGGGAAATGATGTGTCCTTCCAATGACCTCAAAGCCTCCAGATTGTGGGTTGGCGAAAGTTCCACGCTCTGTCGCAAAGGGCCTTTCTCTCTCATACACTCAAGCAGGGCAGGTTAACAAGTCTCAACTGATAACAACAGCAGTACATCATTTCATGGGTCTGAAATCAAGCATAACATACATTTAACTGTCCAAAAATACATTTTTGTTTTTTCAATGCAAGATCAAAGCTATATGACATTCAAACAACATTCCAAAAAAGAAATCTTACTGCGGGAAATGATGTGTCCTTCAAATGACCTCAAAGCCTCCAGATTGTGGGTTGAAAGTCTTTTAATTGTGTGTTTAAAGCTACGATATTCCAAAAACATTAAAAAAACAAAAGAAATCTCACTGCAGGAAATGATGTGTCCTTCCAATGACCTCAAAGCCTCCAGATTGTGGGTTGGCGAAAGTTCCACGCTCTGTCGCAAAGGGCCTTTCTCTCTCATACACTCAAGCAGGGCAGGTTAACAAGTCTCAACTGATAACAACAGCAGTACATCATTTCATGGGTCTGAAATCAAGCATAACATACATTTAACTGTACAAAAATACATTTTTGTTTTTTCAATGCAAGATCAAAGCTATATGACATTCAAACAACATTCCAAAAAAGAAATCTCACTGCGGGAAATGATGTGTCCTTCCAATGACCTCAAAGCCTCCAGATTGTGGGTTGAATGTCTTTTAATTGTGTGTTTAAAGCTACGATATTCCAAAAACATTAAAAAAACAAAAGAAATCTTACTGCGGGAAAAGATGTGTCCTTCCAATGACCTCAAAGCCTCCAGATTGTGGGTTGGCGAAAGTTCCACGCTCTGTCGCAAAGGGCCTTTCTCTCTCATACAGTCAAGCAGGGCAGGTTAACAAGTTTCAACTGATAACAACAGCAGTACATCATTTCATGGGTCTGAAATCAAGCATAACATACATTTAACTGTCCAAAAATACATTTTTGTTTTTTCAATGCAAGATCAAAGCTATATGACATTCAAACAACATTCCAAAAAAGAAATCTCACTGCGGGAAATGATGTGTCCTTCAAATGACCTCAAAGCCTCCAGATTGTGGGTTGAATGTCTTTTAAGTGTGTGTTTAAAGCTACAATATTCCAAAAACATTAAAAAAAACAAAAGGAAATCTCACTGCGGGAAATGATGTGTCCTTCCAATGACCTCAAAGCCTCCAGATTGTGGGTTGGCGAAAGTTCCACGCTCTGTTGCAAAGGGCCTTTCTCTCTCATACACTCAAGCAGGGCAGGTTAACAAGTCTCAACTGATAACAACAGCAGTACATCATTTCATGGGTCTGAAATCAAGCATAACATACATTTAACTGTCCAAAAATACATTTTTGTTTTTTCAATGCAAGATCAAAGCTATATGACATTCAAACAACATTCCAAAAAAGAAATCTCACTGCGGGAAATGATGTGTCCTTCCAATGACCTCAAAGCCTCCAGATTGTGGGTTGGCGAAAGTTCCACGCTCTGTCGCAAAGGGCCTTTCTCTCTCATACACTCAAGCAGGGCAGGTTAACAAGTCTCAACTGATAACAACAGCAGTACATCATTTCATGGGTCTGAAATCAAGCATAACATACATTTAACTGTACAAAAATACATTTATGTTTTTTCAATGCAAGATCAAAGCTATATGACATTCAAACAACATTCCAAAAAAGAAATCTCACTGCGGGAAATGATGTGTCCTTCCAATGACCTCAAAGCCTCCAGATTGTGGGTTGGCGAAAGTTCCACGCTCTGTCGCAAAGGGCCTTTCTCTCTCATACACTCAAACAGGGCAGGTTAACAAGTTTCAACTGATAACAACAGCAGTACATCATTTCATGGGTCTGAAATCAAGCATAACATACATTTAACTGTACAAAAATACATTTATGTTTTTTCAATGCAAGACATTCAAACAACATTCAAAAAAAGAAATCTCACTCTGGGAAATGATGTGTCCTTCCAATGACCTCAAAGCCTCCAGATTATGGGTTGAATGTCTTTTAATTGTGTGTTTAAAGCTACGATATTCCAAAAACATTAAAAAAACAAAAGAAATCTTACTGCGGGAAAAGATGTGTCCTTCCAATGACCTCAAAGCCTCCAGATTGTGGGTTGGCGAAAGTTCCACGCTCTGTCGCAAAGGGCCTTTCTCTCTCATACACTCAAGCAGGGCAGGTTAACAAGTCTCAACTGATAACAACAGCAGTACATCATTTCATGGGTCTGAAATCAAGCATAACATACATTTAACTGTCCAAAAATACATTTTTGTTTTTTCAATGCAAGATCAAAGCTATATGACATTCAAACAACATTCCAAAAAAGAAATCTCACTGCGGGAAATGATGTGTCCTTCAAATGACCTCAAAGCCTCCAGATTGTGGGTTGAATGTCTTTTAAGTGTGTGTTTAAAGCTACAATATTCCAAAAACATTAAAAAAACAAAAGGAAATCTCACTGCGGGAAATGATGTGTCCTTCCAATGACCTCAAAGCCTCCAGATTGTGGGTTGGCGAAAGTTCCACGCTCTGTCGCAAAGGGCCTTTCTCTCTCATACACTCAAGCAGGGCAGGTTAACAAGTCTCAACTGATAACAACAGCAGTACATCATTTCATGGGTCTGAAATCAAGCATAACATACATTTAACTGTACGAAAATACATTGATGTTTTTTCAATGCAAGATCAAAACTATATGACTTTCAAACAACATTCCAAAAAAGAAATCTCACTGCGGGAAATGATGTGTCCTTCCAATGACCTCAAAGCCTCCAGATTGTGGGTTGGCGAAAGTTCCACGCTCTGTCGCAAAGGGCCTTTCTCTCTCATACACTCAAGCAGGGCAGGTTAACAAGTCTCAATGGATAACAACAGCAGTACATCATTTCATGGGTCTGAAATCAAGCATAACATACATTTAACTGTACAAAAATACATTTATGTTTTTTCAATGCAAGATCAAAGCTATATGACATTCAAACAACATTCAAAAAAAGAAATCTTACTGCGGGAAATGATGTGTCCTTCAAATGACCTCAAAGCCTCCAGATTGTGGGTTGAATGTCTTTTAATTGTGTGTTTAAAGCTACGATATTCCAAAAACATTAAAAGAACAAAAGAAATCTCACTGCGGGAAATGATGTGTCCTTCCAATGACCTCAAAGCCTCCAGATTGTGGGTTGGCGAAAGTTCCACGCTCTGTCGCAAAGGGCCTTTCTCTCTCATACACTCAAGCAGGGCAGGTTAACAAGTCTCAACGGATAACAACAGCAGTACATCATTTCATGGGTCTGAAATCAAGCATAACATACATTTAACTGTACAAAAATACATTTATGTTTTTTCAATGCAAGATCAAAGCTATATGACATTCAAACAACATTCAAAAAAAGAAATCTTACTGCGGGAAATGATGTGTCCTTCAAATGACCTCAAAGCCTCCAGATTGTGGGTTGAATGTCTTTTAATTGTGTGTTTAAAGCTACGATATTCCAAAAACATTAAAAAAACAAAAGAAATCTTACTGCGGGAAATGATGTGTCCTTCCAATGACCTCAAAGCCTCCAGATTGTGGGTTGGCGAAAGTTCCACGCTCTGTCGCAAAGGGCCTTTCTCTCTCATACACTCAAGCAGGGCAGGTTAACAAGTCTCAACTGATAACAACAGCAGTACATCATTTCATGGGTCTGAAATCAAGCATAACATACATTTAACTGTCCAAAAATACATTTTTGTTTTTTCAATGCAAGATCAAAGCTATATGACATTCAAACAACATTCAAAAAAAGAAATCTTACTGCGGGAAATGATGTGTCCTTCAAATGACCTCAAAGCCTCCAGATTGTGGGTTGAAAGTCTTTTAATTGTGTGTTTAAAGCTACAATTTTCCAAAAACATTAAAAAAAACAAAAGAAATCTTACTGCAGGAAATGATGTGTCCTTCCAATGACCTCAAAGCCTCCAGATTGTGGGTTGGCGAAAGTTCCACGCTCTGTCGCAAAGGGCCTTTCTCTCTCATACAGTCAAGCAGGACAGGTTAACAAGTCTCAACTGATAACAACAGCAGTACATCATTTCATGGGTCTGAAATCAAGCATAACATACATTTAACTGTACAAAAATACATTGATGTTTTTTCAATGCAAGATCAAAGCTATATGACTTTCAAACAACATTCAAAAAAAGAAATCTCACTGTGGGAAATGATGTGTCCTTCCAATGACCTCAAAGCCTCCAGATTGTGGGTTGGCGAAAGTTCCACGCTCTGTCGCAAAGGGTCTTTCTCTCTCATACACTCAAGCAGGGCAGGTTAACAAGTCTCAACTGATAACAACACCAGTGCATCATTTCATGGGTCTGAAATCAAGCATAACACACATTTAACTGTACAAAAATACATTTATGTTTTTTCAATGCAAGATCAAAGCTATGTGACATTCAAACAACATTCAAAAAAAGAAATCTCACTGTGGGAAATGATGTGTTCTTCAAATGACCTCAAAGCCTCCAGATTGTGGGTTGAATGTCTTTTAATTGTGTGTTTAAAGCTACGATATTCCAAAAACATTAAAAAAAACAAAAGAAATCTTACTGCGGGAAATGATGTGTCCTTTCAATGACCTCAAAGCCTCCAGATTGTGGGTTGGCGAAAGTTCCACGCTCTGTCGCAAAGGGCCTTTCTTTCTCATACAGTCAAGCCGGGCAGGTTAACAAGTCTCAACTGACAACAACAGCAGTACATCATTTCATGGGTCTGAAATCAAGCATAATATACATTTTACTAAATAACAAAAATTTAATGTCTCTTAATTGTTCATTTAAAACTACATGATATTCGAAGAAACTTTAAAAAAAAAAACAAAAGAAATCTCACTGCGGGAAATGATGTGTCCTTCCAATGACCTCAAAGCCTCCAGATTGTGGGTTGGCGAAAGTTCCACGCTCTGTCGCAAAGGGCCTTTCGCTCTCATACAGTCAAGCAGGGCAGGTTAACAAGTCTCAACTGATAACAACACCAGTGCATCATTTCATGGGTCTGAAATCAAGCATAACATACATTTTACTAAATAACAAAAAAATTAATGTCTTTTAATTGTTTGTTGAAAACTACATGATATTCCAAAAAACATTAAAAAAGGAAATCTTACTGCGGGAAATGATGAGTTTTTCAAATGACCTTAAGGCTTAAAGAAATTTCTTTAAGTTTTTTTCATATCGTTCCCTTGACTGTCTTCTGAGATTCATTATTTTTGTTCTGATCAAATGGATTTTTTTCTTCCTGGGAAATTCATTAAGGATTTCTGGATATCTCTGGATAAAGCTGCATATATCACTTGAAACTGTGAAGAATGAACAAAGAAGGGTAATATGTAAAGAAAAGAAAAGAAAAGAAATATAGTTATATCTTATTTACTGCATTTCTATAGACACTAATAGTCATGTGAAGAATTTGGGAATTTAAATATTAATATAATAGCAAATAAACTTTGAAGAAAGGTGTCTGAACTTTAATTATTTTCTTTTCTAGAATACTTTAGTTTATACCTCTAGCAATAAATTAATGTCTACATAGCAGGTGTATCCCTGAAGTCAAAGATTATGCAAAATTACAAGATTTAATGTATTTAAACTGACATGTTTATACAGTTCTACTGTTTAAAAAACAGTTGTTAAGACACCATTTTGTCACAACCACAGTACCTTGCAATTTTCCCTTGTTTCCAGATTCAGACACATCATCAATATATGTAATGAAAAATCTTTTAACAGCAGCATCCTCATTTGATGACCAGGTATGTTTCTTGCCTTTGGCAGTTGTGTCCTCTACAAATGCTTATAAAATCATATTGCTCATTTTTTTTTTTTACTATTCATTTTTGAATAGTGTTTTAAGCAAGACACTCTTGAAATAATTCTAAAATTTATTTCATTCTGTACAAATTGAGATTTTTTCAAAGAATTATCAACCATGTGTTCTGTATAAAACTATGTATATATCCATTTATTACATCATCTATTAAGTCTATATTGTAATTATTATTTACCATCTGTAGATACTTTATCATCCTTGTCTGATGGTTCATCAGATGAGGAACTATCCTCACAAATGTAAGAAACGGCATTCCTGGAACGTTTCACAACACTAGGGCCAGGAATCTAGAATATAAAGCTGAAAACTTGCATTTTTGGAAGGAAGAAAAATACTACAAATCTGACACCAAAAAATATAGTATTTTGTATGCATGTATAATAAATACCTCATTTTCTGAAATGTCATCATCCCTTCTTGTTCTCCTCAACCCTGTTAACAATGATACCTCTTTTATTATTTAAGTAAGCCATCTTCCACATAGAGGTTCAATTATTTTTTTATCAAATTGATGATTGTTTCCACTTAACAGTATACGGTCAAACCTTGTTATCTCAAACTCAACAGTACCAAATGATCATTAAAATATTAGTAAAAAGGCATAAAGAAACTGCAGGATTGGTACTTCGAACTCACTTTGAAAAATTCAAATGTTTACCTGAGGTATGTTCTTTGTTTTCTTCTTGTATTTTGTTTTCTATAAAAAAAAGTAATATCAATACCAGTACATCTTCACAGTTATTTATCTATGTGATATAATTAAAGTATATGTATAATACCTATATAGCATAAGTTTTAATTATAGGTGTTCAATTTCTTGAAAAATTCCAACTTTTTTGAAGAATAATTCATAATTACACAAGTATCTACATTTTTTACATCACAGAAAGACAAGAAAAGAAATGAAATAAGCTATAAATTATGTATTTCATAGGTATGTATACTAGATGCTTTAATGTAAGCATTTAGTACACATAACTTTTCATAATATATCATATGCAAATTAATTCAGCTTAACAATTATAAATACCCTCAGACTTCCCAACATCTGCAGCAAGCACTGTCAATGTATTCATTATGCCTAGCCAGGCATCATCTGTAAAGAATTTTTTTGCTTGACTCTGTACATCTTTATCTAAAACTAAACTTCTTCTTTGCTTTAACTCCTCCGGATTAACAGTCACATGTTCTTCATCAATTTTGGTATAGAAGTTCAGAATTTCAGGCAAAGAAATATCTGGTGCCATTAATTCAATGAATTCTGGAAAAAGCAAAAAATACAAAAAAAATACAAAAAAAAAAAATAATAATAAAAAAAAATAAAAATACAAAAAACAGCTATAACCTCATTTACCCATTGAATTTCAAAGAAATTTCAACTTTTTTTTGTAACAAAAGCATCATTGTTTCTTGACATAAAAATACTATGTGATCAAGGAGTAGAAAGGAATGGTAATCTATGAGTGAAGGCAATGTCTCTCATCAAATAAATGTTCTGGTAGTGTGCATATCTAGATGCAACAACCATGCAAGTTCTGGGTAGGATTTATAGTTTTTGGGAATGCTATTAAAACCTTAATTGTTTCAATAATCTTGACTCAAAATCACTTTTTATTCGCAAAAACTTTATTTTCGTGCAATTACGCAAGACAGTGTGCTGGCGAAAATTTCATTCTCACGTAAAATAGTATTCTGTAGGATTATATAGAGCAATAACCACAATTCCTGAAAATTTTGTCTCGTCAATACAGAGTTAACAACTATCTCGCGAAGATAAGGTGTCGCGAAAAATTAGTGATCTACACTATATGGAACAGTTCATCTTGCTAAGTCAGATGCTGCATAGCTAACATGTTGGAAATGTGCATCCTTAGGTGCATCATTCATGCAACTTTGGTCCATGTAGAGCTTACAGTTACTTGTGAAGGGACCTGCTCCAAATGTAGGTCAGATCAAGCATCAAAAGCAAGTAGGCATCATTCATATAGATTTTGATCCTGGTAGGGCTTATAGTTATTTGGGAAAGGACTGGCCAAAAAAACCTTTACCTGGTCACTCATCTGAAAAATATAGGTCAGATTCAGCATCTGAGGCAAGTCTACTACTATGCATCCCTAGATGCAGCATCCATGCTAGTTTGGTCACCCAAGGACTTTTACTAACTTGGGAATGGATTTGCCCAAAAACTAATCTTGTCAATCATCAGGAAAATGTAGGTCAGATCCAGCATCCTAAGCAAGTCTAGTAGTATGTATCCATACATGCACCCCCATGCAAGTTTGGTCCAAATAGGGCTTTTAAAAGGGCTTGAGAATGGACTTACTAACAAAACTTTGCCCAGCCACCAATGCCGACACCAGGGGTATAACATAAGCTCATCTCAACTTTGTTGAAGCGAGTTAAAAATCAGAAGTGAAAAGATATTATGTTTCATAAAACTGTTATCTTTAAACTATTGTACATGATCTTCATTCTATGCAAAAAATTACTTTAAAAGGTATCTTTTTGAAAAGGTCAAGATAATTTTTCAGAGAAATATTACACTAATCATGCCTACATCCATGAACTACTCTTTAGACCTCTTAATAGAAAAATCATACAATAGAACTTATCCTTGTAAAAATTTGGTGGTCATGATTTTTTATATGCATACATAAAATATGATTAAGAAATCAACTTTAGCTGTACATAAAACAACATAAAATCAATCAATCTTTGCATTACTTTCCTTTCTTAACATTAAAGATATTTTTTATTATTAAACTATCAAACATACCAGAGAGAATTTCAACATCAACTTCCTTGGCACTCGACTTCTTTGAGCTGGAAAGGGCTGTAAGAAAAACTTTACATTTATCATCATCATACATGTATGATACCAGCATCATCATTATTTTCATCATGATTATTGAAACAACTTTGTTATAATGAACTTTTATTTCAGTGTAATCAATTTTAAAAGGATATAAATTTCTTTTATTAATGAATACATGCATAAACTCACATGTATCAATGTTGCCTTCCAACTGATTCAAAAATTTTCCAACTTTTGTAATTGTTCTCATAGCCGGAGGGCATTGATAAACGTTCTCATTCATTTGCTTTGAATGCCCCAGGTGTTTGTAAAACATTTCTCTATCATTTGGTGACACATCTAGCAGAGCATAAGAAGTGGCAACATAGTGTCTCATATCTGTAGCACTTATATTATGCTCCAACCCTGCTTTTTTGCATAAATTATTAACTGCAATCCACCCTGAAGTATGATTCTTTGAATGCTTCATGTTTGGAAACGCATATTTATTCTTCTCATTAATTTGAACACCTCTGCGCACCTCAAAATCTGTTAAAATTTTCATAGCTTGCCAGCAGTCTTTAGGTATCAGAAGTGGCACCAACTTGGAAACCTTGGAGGCATGTATGTAGGCTATTTTATTTTCACACAGTAACTTTTTTTCTATGTCATCTTCAACATGCTCAACTTTTTCTTGGTCAATCCATACGTCTTGGAGGGCATCTTCCCAGTCTTTAATGGTCATTCTGCTGGGTTCACCCCCTCTCCTGGCATTAAAGAGTGTTAATCTGCATACTACAGCATCTCGTAGCTGGCTAAATTTTGTATAATCTAAAGTTTCATACATATCTGTGGAAAGTCTCTCAATGATATCTTTTGTACAGTCCCTTAACTGCTCTATTTCTTTTTCACTTGGTAGTCTGACTGGCCTTCTTAAATCTGACTGTCTCTTTTTAACCACTGACTCCTCAGCACTGGCAAAAAAGGAAGGCCAAATCAGCTGTAAAACTGAAATGAATTTTGCCATTTCTTCTGCTTTTTCATCTTGTTTCAGCAAAAGGTAATTTGCCCTCATTACCTTGCAAACATCAGATATCAGATAACGCAGAGAAACTTTCAAGCCATTTTTCACTGCTTTTGTTTCTTTGTCTGTTGTCATTGAACAAATAGCTTCTTGAATATAGAGAATGAAATCTCTATCAAACATCTGGCTGCATGAATTCAATTTTATACATGGGTTATCTTTTGAAACTATCTGTTTAAACTCCATGAAAAGATGAGCTAGGCGTCTAAGGTTTGACATTAGAGATGACCTTTTTTCTGTCCTTTTTTCAGTGCCCTCAAAATTTTGGAAGCATAGATATCCATATCTTTTGATCCAGTCATCAGATCGAATCAAAGCTCCAACTTCATTATCATGAAAACAATTCAAAATTTCTAGTATATATGAATCTGAAAAGATTGGCTGGGTACCTAAAAGTTTAATACTGCATGTTGTTGGGTAGTCAGTTGTACCTTCTGCAGAGGAACATCTTTTCTTGTGTCTGTTAATTATCTTTTTGTGATAGAACCCTTTACAAAGGGAACACATAGCCAAAGAATCATTCCCTTGTCTTCGCTGATTCATAAGTTTGCTGTAGTCTGGATTTTCTTTCATAAGAACATCAGCATTGGCTTTGAAAATCCCCTCTTTTTTCATTTTTTCAAACTCCTTGTCTCTCAAATCCTTAGGTAATGCCAATGCAGCTTTAACACTTTCTTCCATCTTGTGTTTTCTTTTTATGTGATCCGTGAGACGAGAAGCCATTGTTCCACAAAATGGACACGGTCTTCTTGGTCTGGATGTTTTAGATTTGTCTTTGTTTCCTTTAAATAATTAAAAATTATATAGCTTAATCAAAGTATTGAAAAACAGTAAGCATGCTTCCTTCTAGGATATACTATGAAATCTTTATTATCTGAAATGTGAATATAACAGTACTGTGGAGTTCATGCACGCATTAAGCAGTATTCTTTCAAATGTCAGGGTCAATTTAATTTACTCCTTGAATACAGTGATATATTTTCCTATCAATGGATGTAATTCATGAATATTCAAAAAGTTATCAACTTCATTTGAGAAGATACATACTGTATAACGGGTATTTTTACGTGCTGCTAATTTTTACTAAATTTTATAAGTTTTATAAATCCATAAAATTTAAACGCATAAAATTTCACAGAAGTGAAAAAAATGCCTCGCGTAAATTTTCAAAATCGTACATGTATGCATGTGAGTAATACTAATTGCCATTCTGCTCAGTCCCTGGAGGCTATAGAATAAGTACTGTTGGTAATTTTGAGCACTTTTAAATCGATCATCAATTAAGATCATACAGGTAAATCTTAATTAACTTGCATAAGTTATACAAACATCGTCAATTACCTGGTTACTCTATTATTAGTATTTTTCTGAGAGGCATAATTTCTGATAACGACTTACTTATTACAGATCTTCCAATTATACCCGTTTTTTAAGTCTTTGACCCTTTCTTCTGTTTTATGTGCTTCTAATAAAAACTTCGACTTTGTATTCGGTAAAATCAAGACGAGCACGTGGTGCGCAACAATAATGATATCAAGCAATGTATATTAAAAAAGAAAAGAACAAATGAAGGGCATACGGTATATAAAGGTAAATGAACAAACATAATTATTTATTATAATTTATTGAATCGTTATCACGGGAACAATTTCTCTTTTTTTTTTTGTCCATACACATTTATTTGTACGTAAACACATTCAAAGCTTACAATCATTGATCTGGAATTTTACCTCCGATGATTTAAATTTTTACTGACATGCTCAATTCATAAAAATTTAATGTGCAAAAATTTAAATCACCCTGTTGAACCAAAATTCGTAAAAATTTACAGCAGTAAAAATAACCCATTATACAGTATAGCTTAAAACTGAAAATAAATTGACTCTTAATAAAGATTTAAATTAATTTCTTAATGATTTAAAAGTATGTAGAAAAATTTAAATACAGTTAAACTCTTTGGTTCAGAAGTAAAAATAAAATAGCCCTAGGTTTCTAGTAAACATGGATATAAGCATTTGAGTTTAAATTGGCAGGTTGATTGAAGCATTCTGGGTTTTTTTTCAAGGTATAATGTACTTCTGTTAGCATACATGCCAACTTTCCTGATTTACATGGGATCCTCCTGCCTTTACCCTCAATGAAATTTGATCTCACTTTCCCGAGGAAGGCAAAAGTTGAATGCAATTAGGAAAAAAGTAATTCAAAATTGTTTTACCACACTTTTTTTATTTGCAGATTTTCTGTGTTTTTCTGTGTTTATTCTCTAAGAAAATTCAAATTTGTAAGCTCTTCTGCAAAAAGACTTTTCACAAGAAAAGATTTCACATTCTTTTTAACCTTTAGTGACGATAGTGGCATTGCATACCTGCTGAGTTGGGACAATCTGTTTTTTGTTTTTCATCAGCTGTGACATTCTCACCACTGGTTTGGGAAGATGGACTGGATGTTGTAAAATTGCTGCTGGGATTTATCTGTAATTAAAAAAATGTTCATAATGTTTAAATTATAGCTAATAGCAATCCCAAGATATTTTAGTCATATGTTAAGGACAAGTAAACCTGTGACAAGTATATAACAATAATAATGCTATAAGTTGTTGTGATATTGTTTTCAAAAATAAATTTTGAAAAGATTTTATGTGATAATCCAATGCAAAATTTTGCATCCCTCCTGAAGACTAGTGGCCATGGCATGAACAAATTTGATACCACACAATGATGCTTGCATGGTTATATCCCAAATTGTAGAATTTCATACAAATTGTTTAGCCATGATTTTTATTGCAAATTTACTGCAGATTTTCATCTTACATGATTATGACAATTAGTACATGGTGGGTGTGAACGGTCAGCATGGGTGCTTATTCCTCAACGTCACCTCATTCCACTATTGTTTTCAGATGTCTGTGCTGTCTCTGATCATGAAGTATACATTGTTTATATGGATTTTTGATATTGATCACTGTTTGTTATCTTCAACTTTTATTAGAAACTACTGTAAATATATTATATTCGGAAGGTACGATATTTGGCAGAAATTGATTTTGAAACAAGTAGGTATGAACTTGATTCAGCTCAAGTCTCAGTGTCATTCTTTATGTATATGCGCACAAGGTAATTTGTCTTGTATTTGAAACAATGGATTTTGTTTTAGCAAAGGCAATAAAAAGAATAACATTAAAATGTAATATGTTTACAGTCACTACTGTATATCTGAAAATGTCAGCATTTTTTTTTTTTTTTTTTTTTTTTTTTGCAATTTTTCAGATACCCTGCATTGGCAAAAAAAAAATGTTTTAAAAATAAATCAAGAAGAAATGAAAGTAAGTGAATTAGATTACACTTAAATGAACACTATGACTTTTACCTCGTGCCCAATGCCCTCTTCCAATGAGTCTTGTCCCATATCCTTTGGCACTGAGTCTTGTCCCATATCCTTTGGCACTGAGTCTTGCTCAATATCCTCTGGCACAAAGTCTTGCCCAATTTCTTCTGGCACTGAGTCTTGCCCAATTTCATCTGGCACTGAGTCTTGCCCAATCTCCTTTGGCACTGAGTCTTGCCCAATCTCCTCTGGCGCAAAGTCTTGCCCAATTTCCTCTGACACTGAATCTTGCCCAATTTCCTCTGGCACTGAGTCTTGCCCAATCTCCTTTGGCACTGAGTCTTGCCCAATCTCCTCTGGCGCAAAGTCTTGCCCAATTTCCTCTGACACTGAATCTTGCCAAATTTCCTCTGGCACTGAGTCCTGCCCAATCCCCTTTGGCACTGAGTCTTGCCCAATATACTCTGGCACTGAGTCTTGCCCAATATCCTCTGGCACTGAGTCTTGTCCAATATCCTTTGGCACTGAGTCGTGTCCAATATCGTCTTGCACTGAATCTTGCCCTATATCCTCTGGCACTGAGTCTTGCCCAATCTCCTTTGGCACTGAGTCTTGCCCAATATACTCTGGCACTGAGTCTTGTCCAATCTCCTCTGGCACTGAGTTCTGTCCAATATCATCTGGCACCGAGTCTTGCCCAATCTTCTCTGACACTGAATCTTGCCCTATATCCTCTGGCACTGAATCTTGTCCTATATCCTCTGGCACTGAGTCTTGTCCAATCTCCTCTGGCACTGAGTCTTGTCCAATCTCCTCTGGCACTGAGTCTTGTCCAATATACTCTGGTACAGAGTCTCGACCAATCACCTCCTGCAGTGACTCTTGAACAATCACCTCCTGAAGTTGGTCCTGAACAATCTCCTCTTGAACAATTTCCCCCTTTAGTGACTCTTGCCTGAACTCTGCTGGCTGTGAGTCACTCTGCTGCATGACCAAATCTTTAAAGACAGACTAGTTTGATACTAAAATCTAGAGTTGTAAAATTTGAAGATTTTTGTTCACTGGTTTTAAAATTCCTTATTATCTGATTGAGTATCTGGTTACTCATATAGTTTCCTTAAGAAATTCTTAACAACCTTGGTCATGTTATTTTTTAGTAGAAAATTTGTTGATTTTTTAAGATTATATTTGGTCTCATGTTTTATTTGCCAATGGATTATGAAAATAAAAAGAAAAAACTTCAGAAAAGAAATTTATGTTAAAAGATGAATTATGTGCAAAAATGTCATATTAAGGTAATACACAATAGATATGGCCAAAATTTTCTTCAAATTGATATGGGTAAACTTGAGTACAATATGATGTAAAAATGGAATATAAATAGCCCCAGAATTGAAAATTCACATGTAAATATGCTATACTTTAAGTTCTCTTGAAAGAAAATTTATCATTCATTTTTTTCGAAAAATCTACAGATTGATTGAAATGGATCACAGATTACATGTATAATGTGACAAAATACGGAAAATTGAACCCAATAGTTTCAGATATTTTGGCGATATAAAAATGGAAAAAAAAAAAAAAAAACTAAAAGATTCAATAAATGATGTCACAATATTCGACCTTTGACCTCATGATATGACCTTGACCTTTATCAAACGTAAGAATAGGTTGCCAATGGGCCACACAAGTGTACCTGACTCAGTATGGCCATGCAACAAATATTTATATGTAAAACTTTGATTTCCCGTTGTGACCTCATCTTATCCTAAGGTGTCATGATTTGAAGAAACTTGAACTTAAAATTACCACAAAACAACTTTACAATGAACAATTTCAATGGCAGTACATTTAGAATATACAATGTATAAGGGCCAGGTTGAAGTAGGTCTACATTAGGCTTAAGAGAAATAGAATGCCTGATTCACTATAGTGAACCCAGAGCTGACCCCACATGAATGTACAGGTAACCCAGAGTTTAAGACTAAGCCCCTTTAACCTAATTCAAGTGTTGGCTTATCCCAAATATTGCTTAGTCCGACCAATTTCTTTGAAACCTGTAGTGTCCAGATTAAACAAATTTTACTGTATATATTACTGAGCTAGGTCAAAGTTAACATATAATTTTACTTACCAGACTGAAACACCACTCTACCAATATCCAATGGCAATTTTTTAAGCAGCACTCTGCATTCTTTTTTCTACAAAAAAGTCATAAAATAATGCTGATTATAATAAGACATTCTTAAGGACATACTAAACATGCTCGATCATTTAAGCAACTTCGGCACTGCATGCTAGACTCCAGGAGACTATGAGATTTTAATGTTCCCATATGCGAATTTTTCAATAACAATATATTACAGAACCTTGTAGAAAGGGAGAAAATTGTTTATGCCCCCGTATAGAAAATTCAGGGGGAATATATAGTTTTTGCCCTGTTTGTCCGTCTGTCTGTCTGTTTGTCTGCAAAAACTTTAACACTGCCCATAACTTTTGATTGTTTGGAGCTATGGCTTTCATATTTCAAATGTGTATTCCTTGTGACAAGACCTTTCTTTGAGTACCACCATATTTGACCTTTTGACCTTGACCTTGGAAGTTGACCCAGTTTTGCAAAATTTTATCCAACTTTAACCTTAGCCATAACTTTTGAACAATTAATGATTTCATACTTCTCATGTGTAATCCTTGTGACAAGTCCTTCCTTTGGATACAAACAACTTTGACCCTTTGACCTTGACCTTGGAGTTTGACCTACTTTTGAAAAACTTTAATATTGGCCATAACTTTTGAATGATTGGTGCTTCAGCTTTCATACTTCACATATGTAATCCTTTTGACAAGACCTTTCTTAGGATACCAACAACTTTGACCCTTTGACCTTGACATTTGACCTTCTTTTAAAAATCTTTAACCATAGCCAAAACTTTGGGACCATTGGTGCTAGGCATTTCATACTTCACATATGTAATCCTTGTGACAAGACCTTCCTTTGGATACCAACAACTTTTACCCTTTGATGTTGACCTTGGAGTTTGACCTACTTTTGAAAAACATTAACCATGGCTATAACTTTGGAATAGTTGGTGCTAGGCATTTTATACTCCATATATGTAATCCTTGTGACAAGACCTTCCTTTGGATACCAACCTTGACCTTGGAGTTTGACCTACTTTAGAAAAACTTTAATCTTGGCCATAACTTTTGAACCGTTGGTGCTAGGGCAAAGCAAAGTCTCTAATAAATGTGTTCATCTTATTTCTCTATCTTTCTTTTTTTTCTTAGAAACCCAAACAGCCAGCAGATGTGAGTATCTATATGCAAAGTAAGAACATCACCAATATGTGACTTATTTTGGGTAAATTCTATCTATAGAATTCTGTACCAACTGTCTTATGTACAATCTTGAGCAAAATTCAATGGTTTCTTGTCATCTGTGACTGTTTAATTTATATTTAAGTTGCTTGCAGCAGCTTATTAAAAAAAACATAAATTAAGTATTTAGAGACCAACCTATAAACCCTAAATTTAAAGGAGACCACTTCTGTGAAGTAAATTAGGGAGAAGTTTTGAAATGCTGTCAAACTTTCCACTTTTACTTTCAAATTGACATTCTTGTTAGAGAGCACTTTGAATACTAGTTCACTGAAGAATTTTCTACTCAACCTATTTTTAACATACCGAAATCATCAAACTTTCACCCCTTAATATAACCACATTTACAATATATTGGCTAAAGATTAAATGGTATGGAAACAAAATGCTTTCATGATAAAACCCCTTTGCTTGCAGTATATCTAAGCTACACAAAACTAGTCAGAATAAAAGCAGAGCTTTGTAATTTAAGCAAATGATGAAAACTTCTCCTTACTACCAATTACATAGTAAATTTCTTACTTGCAAGTCCTTTATGATTCTGGCAGTTTCATCTTGTCTATCCTGACTGATTTGACCCTGTATAAGAAAAAAATTAAACACAACATATGCATATCATTTTTTATTTTCAGAAGATAATCACCTAACTTCTTAATTTATTATAATTAATATATCTGCTGTGACACACATATTGTAAGAGTCCAGAGATATGGCAGATTGGTTTATACAGTAATTGAACTTGAATATAGTTCACATTTGTAGGAAAGTTGAGATAAGCTTGTATATGTGTATTTACTAAACATTGCAGAAATATGCATGATTTATGTATTTCATGTAGTTGACAAGTGATTATTGACAATTTTAAGTGATTCGTATGTGTTGAAATAGTTTGTGTACATGATTATACTTTTAAAAAAAAAGGGGGGGGGGGAGGGGGGCATCCGGAATTTCAATGAACATTTTCTATTCTCCAACATTTTCCAGGTTGGGTTTCTGAATTTAGACCTAAGAATGACTTTTTAAATTTTATTTTAAGAAGAGCCAAAGGTATTTCTTGCACATCTTCAAATTGTAGAAATTTGATGCATGTTGGATTTCTGGTAAAGAGTTGAAAGATTTGAGAATGATTGTATTTGAGATTGTTTCAATTAGATTTCGGTAATTTACACGACAAGCAGTAAATCTAGTCCTCCCGACTCCCGCCTCTCTTGGTTTTCTATTACTGCTCATTCTGTTGAAAAGAATCACTTAAAACTTGTCAGGTACATTTTTTGCTTTAAAATACATTCATGCATACATAATTATGATAACAAGGCAATCTTTAAAAAAAAATGTTTGATTGCCCTCTCTCGAATGACTGGCTAAAAATGGCCCGACTCAAAACTTTTTTTTTAAACCTTCAGGAAACAACTATTTTTTTATGCATTCAGGAAAACAGATTATGAAAAATTCAGCATTTATTTGAAGTTTTTCTCTGAAAAAAAATCCCACCTACCTACTGACCCAAAGTTATCATCCTGAGTCAGGAGAGGGCAAACAAACATTATTTATAAAGTTGGCCCAATGTTACGTATGCCAAATTAAGGTCTTTTGATTTCCGACTCCCAAGGAAAATAAATCTGGATTGCGATTTTTCATTAACATTCCCTCTGTGATCGAGAGCTCTCGAGTTCAAATCTCGGCGGCAACTGACCTAATAAAAAAAATGGGTAGCAACTGTTACTTCGCCATGTGCTTGGCACTTTGCAGTGAAAGTTGCAGGTCTTTCACATGAGTCCTTAAAAACTGATATATATATGGTGACATCTCTATTTGAGTGAAAAATTCATACAATCAATCCAAAAACATTGAAATACAGTACTTAGTTATTATAATAAAAGTAGAAACTAAAACTGATCAATTTATTACATAATAAAAGCCACCATTCGTAATATTTTGATGATTTTTTGTGTTTCTGTGAATGAAGTTCAACATACGAGGGTTGTTAGAAAAGTTCGCTGACACATTGATTTACGGAAAACATATTATGTACTGTGAAGTATGACTTATGTATGATAAAATTCTTTTGTTTATTAGTATGTAAAAAAAAAAGGCCTGTTTACTAAAATTTTGAAAAATTTACAACAATTTTTATTATGCGGTTATAGGATTCACGGAGCAATCAGTTGACGTTAAGTGACGTGACAATCAGATTTCAGACCCGTTAAACTTTTCCACAGTTCTAAATACCTTTCATTTCTTTCGACTTTTCTTGTCTTTTTTCTACTTAAAAGTTAAATATCTATATAAAAACATGTTACTTTTCTTCTATAATGCCTTTTGTGCTGTTTCGGATATTAGTGAGGTTTTAAAATAATAGACTACGCAGTTAAAAGATCAGGTATAGAAACAATGCAAAATCCATAGGCGCAACGTCCATGCGATAAGTGGGGTATTGAGGTATCGATGAAGTTGATCATTAAAAATGTTACTCCTTCCATTATTATAAAGCTACTACCATTTGAATACTTTTGTCATTTGTACGTGTAGGCATTTCTAGCAACATCTAGAAGCGTTTTAGTCTAATTTTAGACATTTTCCTGTCTGCACAAAAAAATTTTAGTAGCTTGGTGCTCCATGACGTTCAATGATGTTGAAATTCTTAGCTTTGTTTTTACGCGTTGATTATTTATAAATGGCAATAAAACAGTCATACACCCTCCAATTTAATTCAAAATTTCTGAAACTGACGTTTTATGAATACTATAGCGACAGGTAAATTATCATAATTCTTTCTGTGCTACAACTGTGCAATTTTTTATTTCAATAAAAAGTCTATGTTATGTAAACGTGCCAAAATTAGTAGCATGCTTTTTGAAGCATGTTTTATCAAAATAATATAACTGTATATTTTTTATAATGATCACCAGAAAACACGAAATCTTTGTATATTTATTGGAAAATAGGTAAAGTTTTTATCTGGAGAGTTTAACCGGTTTCGTGGAAATAGCGCGCTCACAATAGAACTTGTCCGCGAACTTTTCTAACAACCCTCGTAGTTAATGTGTCTGAAAAGTTTGAATCGAATCTGTTTTGCGATAAGGAGAATATCAACAAAAAATATTTATCTGAGAGAGTAAGGAGTTGGGAGGATTAGATTTACCACTTGCAATTTACACATTTAGCCAAAGAAGCAAATTTATTCATAAATTTTGCTGTGGTTTTATAACTGAAATTCAGACTTGTGGGAAAATTTGGTTATGGACAGATAGATGTACTGATGACTTAAGACAGAATGAGAGAGAGTTTAGTTTTTTTAATTTTTATTTAAGAGATAATTATTATTATAAATTGTAAAACTGTCCCGTAACAAACATTCTTACAAATACTCATGAGCAGCTCATGAGACTTACATGAGAATCTAGTAAGAAATGTATGCAAATTAGGTAGAATTGGATTTTGCTTATGTGCAGATTGTTAGTCTCTGTTAGGGAGGAAAATATACTAACCAAAAATAATGCTCACTTGGATGCTCATGAGCAAAAGTCTATTCAAAGTGCTCACGTAGGAACACAGCCTTATATAAAGATATACCATTGGTAGTAATATTTTCTAAGTTCAATTTTCTTACATGAGCAAGAGGTTAGGAAATTGGCATACTGTATAGGGGATTAATTTCACGGGTTGTAATTTTCACGTTTTTCTCTCCTCGGACACGATCACGGTTTGTTGAATTCGCGGAATCGGTATATGATAAAAGTTACTTCCTTTGTCTTTATCCGTGTAATCCATAGTATAGCTAGAACGACATTTATCAGCGTTATGTATTCACTTCGCGAACAGGGTAGGTTTATATAAAATGATTAGATTTAGTAGTTAATTGATGATTAATTAAAAAAATTTTTTTTTACTATAAACGTCAAATGATTTTCCTACAAGTGCAAGTGTACGTACATCTTTCCGAAGGTATAACACATCGCAGCGAGAAAAAAAAAGACACTAGATGCTAATCAATGTATTAATGTAGGTAGACGTAATGATAGCCTTCCACATCTTCAGCAAGTTCGATAGTTATTCGAATAATATTTTTTAAACCAAAATTTCCATAAAAACTAATACGCATAAGGCTAACGCAGGTAACAAATACACGTGGTAACATTACGCACGGGTTATCAAAACCGATGACCCATGCGTTTTGACTAATGAAACATGTATCTATTATAACAGCTTTTGAACAATAAATACAGGTAATTATATGACAAGTACTATACCCGTAATTACTGAATGACCATGTATTGTATGTATATATACCTATCGTAGTCTATTCTCAAAGGAGATGGGCGAACATAGCGTGCAGAAAGCCTATAGCTTCAGATATATAAAAATCATGTTCAGTTTGTGAATTAAGTATTTAGAGTAAAGTTCTCATTATTGAAATTTATGATATTATGATAAACAAAACTTTTCTGAGGAAAATTTTCTCGGCAAAATTTATTCTTTTATTTAAAAAATTAATATGGTATTCGTGTGGTTCGAACCCTAGCAATAAAAATCCTGAGTATCATTTTCTTTCGAGACTAGCACGCTAACCACTAGACTACATAAGTCCTGATGAAGTGTGGCATTTAAATCATGTTTGTGGTATGACCCTTGACTTAATGGACTTCAAGTATTTCTCGAAAAGCTGCGAATGTTATGTCATAAAAGTATATTTTTAATGTATAGTGGGTTATTGCTCCATATTTTTGGTAACCAAAAAATGTATATTTTTATGCAAACTTTGAGGATTTACTTTCAAAAAGGTAGTCAAAATTTAGTATTACAGGTAGAATCAAAACCAAAGCATTACTACAAGTCTCATTCCTCACGTGAGCATTTCAAATGCTCACGTGAGGAAATACAATACTTTGTCACTCTAGGAGGTCCCAGCTTTCACAAGCATTCATTACATTTGCCCATGTGTTACTGATGATGATAATGATGATACTGACAATGCTTCCTGATGATAACATCACAAATAACTGGGACCAGGCAGGAATTTCTTATCACAGAAAATGAAATTACAAAGAAAGAAAGATATTTAAAATCTTATCAGAAATTATACTGTAGTTTGTAATAAATTGAGGCTGCATATATTGTAGTATTTAAAATATTTTAAAAAATGGCCCTTGAGCTTCTAATCTTCATCCCATCAATTTGTAAATGCTATTATCTAGTTACCTAAACAACCTGCTGTTTCCCCCACAGTTGCTAAAAACTAGGGTTGTATCAATGAGGGCAGTCAATCAGGATTTGTGCACGCTTTCCAGACCAGTTCAAAATTTCAAAACAAAATGTTTAATTGTGAGGTTATGAAAGTATATAGATTTATACAGTAAATCTATACAGTGAAATATGCTTTGGAAAAAGGGTGATAGGAAAATTTCAAAGATTTGCTGGCACTACAGTATGCTGAGAAAAGGATAACTTTGCTTTTATATTATATTCCCCCTCTCCTTAATTTCAGATTACTAATTTTAAAACATAATCTGTTTGTGTTTTAATTATAAGTACAAATTAAGATATAAATGCAGTATGTTATCAGTAGGACTGTGTCAATA